GAACTGAAGAATCACACGGGCTGAACTGACACTGAACTTCTTTGAAGAACTTGAAATTGATTTTAGTAAATGCAGGGGTCAATCGTATACCAATGCATCTAACATGACTGGAAAGTATAATTGCGTTCAACAGAAAAGAATAAGTTTGTAAAATTTATTCCCTCTGCTGGATATTCCCTAAATCAATTAATTTTCCTAGCCAGACAACAAAGAGGTCCCTTGTCAGAAATCGGGAATTACCAAAAACCCCAGGCTGCGTCTAACCCCGCACCGGTTTTTGGAGGATGTCCATATAAGCGAGCGTCCTCGGGCAAGTTCGCCAGTTCAGTTAGTCAGTTGGAGTTAGTTCAGTTTGTGAGCAGGAACCAGAGAGTTGCCTCGCAGAAGCTGACCGAGAGATTCCACGACTTCAGCCTCCGACTTTCTACGCACAACAAGTTATACTGACGAACGAAGCTCAGCCAGCACTTAAAAACTAAACTAGTTGACTTAGAAAACGAGGAGTTGCCTAGGAAGTATAAGTGTCACTCTTATAAGAAACGGGTTGGGAAAACACACACACTCCTGTATAAAACAGACTGATAAAAGTTGATTTGCTTTATTTCAACATACCCAAACTTTTTTCTGGTTTTTATTTATTTCTTTTTACGCTTGTGCGACATCACCTCCAGTTTATACTCATCTTGCACTATGGCCCGATGCCTGATTGATCTCGTCTACCTATGATCAAATCACAACGTGGGTAGGTTAGACTTGAGATCGAAGTAGTTACTTTGGTAGCCAGTCATTGAAAGTGAGCTGAGAACAACGGAGCTGGTGTCAAACCGGTTGCATCTGGTGTGAAGCCGTTAGAATCGACCGACCATCCCATTTGGTACCCTGAGCAAAGGATCCCACCGGGTAGCAACGACTGCCGATCGACCGGGTCACATGTTGATGGCAGCGACTAAGAGTCAACCCCAAAACGTTGGTAGGAGAAGTAACGCAACTTCGCGCCGCAACTGGGAGTTGACCCCGGGCCGACAATACTGTGTTACAGTATACATTCATTTATCCCTGTAATTGATGCTCTTCACTCAAATTTGGAAAGAATAGCTATTATGTACAGGAGTGCTGACAATTTTCGTTTTTAACTGCACCGAGGAAACAAATTCTCCATGGTGTCAAGAGACTATAACAAAAATATCCAAAGGATGTTGATTTCAATCTTGTTGGTGAACTCTTGACTTTCCACTTGTATGTTAAACAGGTTCATGCAAAAAAAGAAAGTTTCAGCCACCAAGACATGTACCAGATAATAAAACAGGAAAAAGTTCAGGGATCATTTCCCAGGTTGAAAGGGATCAAAAGTGACCTTCGTTCAACAAGAGCAGCTGTCTGGTCAGAGTATTATTTGTATAGAGAATAATAAACTGCGACTTACTGACTTTTATCAAATCATTGATGAGTTTGCAGCCAGGAAAGCTTGAAGCAGCATTAAACTACCCACCATAAATGTGTAAATAGCCTTAACAGAGTAATATGAAAACATGGCAATTTGATTATCTGTTTTGTGCAAACAATAAACTTCTTCACCAATCATCACTGTATGATTTAAGATTATTATTTTCAATAACGTTTAACATTAAAAATTTTATCACTCTTCAAAGGTTAAAATGTTATATAATGTTTACATTTAATTACATGATGTTGACTATAATGACTGTCCTGTCTGCTCTCTTTTAATCAAGTGACTTGTGTAAAACAGCGTTGGGAGGGTTGAGGCTTTGGTTAATATATAATAGTTCTCAGATTTATTGTAATGTACATATCTGACCTATAAATCTGACTTATAGCCTATACAGTTTAGACCTGAATTTGGCCATAAAACTCCCAAAAACATTCTAAGAGACCGAGCACTGATAATTCAAAAATCTGTCTAAAACTTGATTGATCAGGTCACATGTAATATTTTAATTACTCCTAAATTTTCTGAGCAAGTATGACAAATTGCCTGTGTAGGCATGCCAGGTCTATCTTCTTCAGAGCTTCATAACTAGCACAGGGCCTCATTTATCTTAAATCCGGCCCCGAGTAGAAGGATGCGTGTTTTCACTGGATTTATTTAACCTTATTATTGGCGGAAAATATTTTTAGCAACATAAGATACGCAGATGAATGTTGGTTGCAGATTCAGAAGGAAAACATTGAACTCTTAAATAAGGTCGTTAAAGAACGAGAAAAGAAAACATTAACTGTGAGAAGACAAAATGCATGATAATCAGACACAGCACGATATGTGTTCTACATACTGCAGACACTAATATCGAGGAGATACAAAATATTTTGTCGAGGTAGTGTGGTAACAGACGACGGAAAATGTGTCAGAGAAATCATAAGAATAGTGAAATATATCTTGCAGAAACTAATTAAAGTATTAATAACATAAGAAAAATTGTTAGAAACAAAGAAAAAAGTAATGAACTGTGATGTAATATCTAATCACTTATATGAATGCTGGACAGTTTTCTCACAGATGAGCTGACTTGAAATGTTCTACTGACGGAACACCACGAGCAGAAGATGTGAGTAACGACAGTTTTAGGGAATACACTTACTACAAGGAAACTTACAACCAGAAAAGGACAACTGGAATTTCTGAGACACGTAACGAGGAAAGAGGGTCTAGGAAATTTAACACTCACAAGACATATTGGAAGTAATAGAATCAAGGGGAAACAGTGAATACTTGGTAAGTTTGCATGTTTGAATAACAGAACATGGAAAAAGAAATATTGTAAGTAGTAGAATATTACTTCAAGCAATAAAAGATAAAAAATTATGGAGAGCCATGACCACTTACATCCTGAAAGGATTTGACGCATAAAGGAAGATATAACTTGTAACTGTAGCATTTTTCTTTAATTTGAAAACAACTTCCTTACTTTTAGTTCATTAATAGTTGATTTCTTGTTTGAGATTTACAGTTCTCACTTTTTAACATTTGAAAAGGAAATATATCGTGTATTCAATTCAGTATGGTTCATTTTAACCATCTAAATAATATTTGAAATGTATCGTATTAAACTGAAAAAATATAACAATTAAAATGAAATTATATATATGGCTTCATCAGATGGATAACAAAAAATGTGTTCATGTTAATGAAAATAATATCAGATAATTTTGCCTCGATGAGTTTAAAATGATTAAATCTTATAAGATTTAATTATTTTAAAGCCATAGAGGCAAAATGCATTATCGGATATTATTTTCAAAACATACTTTTATGAACATTTTTCCAAATGTCAATAACATATATATAAAAAGACATTTCATAAAATTAAAGCTTTCACAAATTTAAAGGAGTTGATGCTAATGCCAATGTGAACAATCATAAATGATGGTTAGTTTTGTTAAATTGTTTTAATCATTGTATATGGTTTACTTTTAACTAATTTTATCATCTGAATTGCTTTTTTATTTCACATTTCACTTGTATAGCAAAATTATTGAATCTGATTTTGAGGGCTCACATGCATCTTCTCTTCTGCCTCTTCACATGCACAATTTTTTTCTGGAGCCATCTTCTTGTAAAAGACTTGAAGAATACTACATAGCTGTAAGAAATTTGGCATAGCCAACCATATGAGGATGGAGAGGGCCATGCACCAATTTTTGTGGAAGGATGTCAGAGAGAAACAGTAGTGAATAAGAAGACTCAAGAAATTTGGCTGCATATTCTGCTCCAATGACACAATCAGTAGTGACATTAGTAGCATATGAATGTCATTAATCAGCTGATTGCAGTTTATGAACTTAGGACCCCTAGATATGGTGACAGCTATGAGGTCAATGCTGAAGGGAGACAAAGATGGATGATGTGCAGAGGGAGATGCATGTGCAGCCCCAAAATAAGATTAAAAAATATGACAGAAAGTGAAAAGGTACATGGCCAAAATGCTGTGAATAGAGATGGATTTACAAAAACAAACATGTTGATACTTCTCAGACAAAGTTATTTTCTTATGTCATTATAAATCAACAGAAGTTTATTACAAAAAATTTCAATGAATATAAAAAAAAATTAAATAACTCATAAAGGTTCCTATAGTTGCACTAAATTACCTTCCAAATGTACAAAATGAACAATGCACAACTTATTTCAGCACTAAAAAACTTTGGGACAAAAATTTTCTACAAACATTTGAAAATTTCTGGCTCGAATAATTCATTAATGGATTAAACCTATAGTATTTTGCCTATGCAAATTTCAGTTTTCATATCAGTAGTGTGTGCTCATTTCTTCCAATGTTTTTAACACACATACACAGAAAGTGCTCTATAAATGGTACAGAATTTATAGAGCACTTTGTGTGTGTGTGTCAATATGTAAGTTATTCTCACAGCACGGAGTTTCATTAACAGAAAAAGTAAACTAACATTACTAATTTGTCAAGAATCATATGAACTATAAAAAACAAAATATTTAGATATATAAGCATTCAATAGAATTTGAGCATATCTATATTTACCTGTTAACAAGACAGTAAAAAAATCTTTTATTTTATACAAAGATTGTCTAGACAAGAAAATGTTAAATGTGTAGAAAAGATTTTTAAGCAGATATAAAAATACCACTTTAAAAATCATTTTCACACATACACAAGAGACCATTTATTTAAACTGAAAAATATAAACTATACATACTTTTACAAAAGATTTTATTCTAGCATAAATAATTATACTGTTGAAGAAAATGTTTCATTTAATGCAAATATATGAAAGAAAAAGATAGATTTTCAGAAATTGTTTATTGCTATTAAAGAAAAAAAGATGCAAGTTTACATGATAACAATTGATTTTCACACAATGATTTTAATATGTTTTCAGTCATTAAATCTGAAAAATAAAAATGTCCAGAACATGGGGAAAACAAAATGAGAAAATAATCTACATTGAGATTGAATATGCCTGAGTAAAAAAAATCGAAAGGTTTTATTATAAACATAGGAATAAAATTAATAATAACGTCCAGATGGCTGCTGAGCTGGGTATGACTGTGTTCGTCCAGAACCTTGGTGTCCAGCAAAGGTAGCCTATTAAAAATAAATGTTTTAAATTATAAAGTTATTTAGAATTATTTTTCAACTTTTTATGATTATTATAAAATATAAAATATTTTTTGCAGCAATTAAATATTTTTTAGTTACAAATTTTTTATCACTTTTACCATCTTTGGAGTGTTGGTTCAAAATCAAGTATACATTTTGCATTCTAAATACATCAGTTATTAAATAGTACAATATAAAAATATGATTTAAAGAGAAACTTCATTAGAAAAGAAATTAAATTTAGCCTTGTAGTAAAAATAACAGCACAGAATTGGAATGAAATTGAAACATTGTTTTCTTTTAGTTTTTAAAATTCTTGCTGAGTCTTCAATATCATACACATTCTTTTGTTTATACTACTCTTGGTAAAAATTATGAAACCACCACATTTAGAAGATGTTCCCCCAGAATTTTTTGCTTGTTTTTTTTTTACTTTTCAGCCAATAAATGAATTAGATAGAACACAAAATATTTGTTTAATAACTGGCATTCTGGCTTCATAAAATATACCTAACAGAATTTTTTTTTAATAATTTCAGCCTGAACAAGGCAAAGACGTAAGAGGTTACTGAGTCTGAAAGAATATAACTAAAAAAAAAAAAAAAAAGCGTTAAGGTGTGAGAACAATAAAAGTAGGGGAAATAAGAAGACAGAAGATAATGATTCACACTGCATTTAAATGTTGAAAGATCAAACTTGACAGGAAATCAAGAAGCTGGAAATGATTTCCACAAGTGAGAAGTGCAAGGAAAAAACCATTAGCATAGAAATAACTGTTACATCTAGCCATTTCAACTGTAAAATGATACCACTAATTTAGTACTGCACTTAAGTTCATAAAGTCAAGTATTTATAGAAAAGGCACAGAGTATCTACATGATGGCAGTGAGAAAATGACTGATGCCAAGATGTCAGGACAGGACAATAACTTTGTAGATTTTTCGGATTTTATCAAGAATCTCTAAATATATAGCAGGAGCACCAAACCAGATGTGGAAGCAATATTCAAAGCAAGTATGAATGGTAGACTTATAAATATGTAAGATATTCACTGTGTTGTGCTTAACAATTTTTCTCACCAGAATCTATCTTACATATTTATAGGTCTACCATTTCTCCCCAGTAACTCTTGCATGCATGCATATTTGTAGCTTTATTGCCTTGCTTAGGGTGAAATGATTTAAAAAAAAAAAAAAAAAAAAAAAGATTCTGATAAATTGTCTAGCATGACACTTTCCTAGTAGCAGTCCTAGCAACTGATTCAATATAATCTTTCCTCTTCATGTCAGTGGAAATCATTAACTCAAGTAGGTGCAATGAGTCCCTCAAAATTTTTTCTTTTTTTTTACTAATGTTCACCCAATACAAAGCTCAAGGGCTTCCCAAGATAGAGAATTACTGTATGGAGGTGTATTAGGGTAAGAGTGGGAAGAAGTGAAGTTCTTAGGGGCAATGCATGAAAGATAACAGCTAATTCTAGACTTGAAGAGGTCAAGATTTAATTACTGAATAAAATTTCAGAGTTTAGTCTGAGACATTAGAAGTATAGAGTTGTAGAAGGAATTGGAAGTCCAATCCTAAACAGGGTACAAAGGATAAAACTCTACTTCCAATAAATTTACTTTATTTTGATACCAGTTTCAATATAAAATTTACCACTGAAAAAAGATTTTATAGTTAGAATTCTATTCAATAAAAAGAGCCAGTTCATGACAAAATCTATACATTAGCTAGAATTTTTCCAGCTATCTGTAAATATTTTATCTTTTCACTTATTCTAATTAAGTTTTTTTCAATGGTAATATTAATTTCATGTTAAAACCAAGCAAGTCAGCAAAGGCTCATAGAGGTTAACATCAGTCATGCTGATGGAAGGCAGAAAGAGATCTCTCAAACTATTAATCGAGAGAAGTTAAAATTAATAAGCCATTTCTTGCCCCAGTTAACAGCAGATTTGATAAAACTGAATCAGTTAAAAATTTTGACCAGAAATAACCTTTCAACTTGTAAAGAAAAGCAGTATGCCAAATCCTGACAAATGCCTTCAAGATATCCAAAGCAACATCCCGAGCTTCACCATTCTTATCTAAATCTTGATAGACTCTTTCAGCAATAATCATTAATACATCAGTAGCTGACCTAGAGAAGTGAAAGCCATATTGCTTATCTGAAAGAACAGACTGTGAGATGAGATGCTTAATCAATTCAAAGTTGATTAGGGTCTCTAGTACTTTGTCAAAAAGAGGTAGATAGCTAAAAGGATGATAGAAGGATCAGATGATTTGCCAGAGTTCTTAAAGACTGGAACTACAAAGTAGCATTTCCAACAGGCAGGAAAACAGGAAGCAGCATGGCATTCATTGTAGAGTTTAGAGAGAACAAGGGTTAGTTCAGGAGCACATTTCTTTAGGACTTTTTGCAGGTATATCATTATCCAAATGCTTTTGTATCCAGTTTATAGATAGCAGAAAACATGAATGGTGTTATATGCATATCACTCAACAGAAACTCACTTCTAAGTGGAATGTCATACAAAAATAGTCCTGATGAGTCAAGAGTAGAATTTGAAGAGAATTTACAAGCAAAACATTCTGATTCATCAGCTGATGTTAACACCTCAAATTGAGTAAAATAAATTATTTAAATTAACACCATACTTTTTTAAAAAGAAAAAATTATGGAATCATGATTTCAAGGAAAAAACTTATAATTCATATTAGGTTTTTATGTTGGCCTGATTTCTCTAAGGTATGGACTTTACTAATGAAAACAATATTTTCCAAAATGTTCCAGCATTATTGCTTTGGTCAATTTAAATTCAAGATTTATCACTGAATATCACCTTCATCCAATTATCCGCACACCAAAATTACCCTTCTGCAGCTAACTGTAGCTTTGTTTTCTTCTGTTTAGGTACTGCTTTTTGTTAGAATTTTCTTTGTAAATTCCATTTCTTTACAGAATTTTCTTTGTCAATCAAATTTTCCTAACAGGTTGGTCACAAATGTTAACGCCTGTTTTTATTTTTATTTTTTTGCTGAGCATTTCTAATTTTTGAGTTATGTTTCATTGAGTTTTCTATCCAGAGATTTTATGTCTTTTGTGGCCTACTTATTTATAACCATTTCATTTTTTTTATATTTGCACCAAATTTTAGAGACAACCAACTGGGAACAACCAACATCTTTTACCAAGCTCCATATTGGATTTTTTCTTTAAACTGGAGCAGTTTAATATTTCATTGCTTTATTGAGTTCCCTTGTTGGTATTTACCTGCTTCCCCACAGTAACAGTATGTGACACAAAGTCAATTTAACATAACACATTTAACAAGCTCAAAGATAATAACTGCCTTGTCCCTATAAGAACTGTCAATACTTGTATCAATATCTAATTCTTTAGTGCAGTTAGGTGTAGAGTTGGAAACACTGGGACAAGGCCTCCCTCATAGCTTAGAGAGTAAAAGAACACATCGCTATGATCGCAGCCCAAAAGCTGGAAAAAGTTGGAGCAATGTTTCCTATCCTTTAGTCTAGTCCAACATCTTGTTAAAGTGTTGGAAGTTCTTGTTTAATGGCAGACTGATTTCAATGTAAATTACATGATCCTATAATCTATTTTTCTTTTAATTGGTCTGGAAAAATATGACACTAAGTTAAATAATTTAATCTTATTTGTTTGAGGCATATTTTATGAAGCCAGCTACTAACATTTTGTGTCATATATGTGACTTGTTTATTTGCTGCAAAGTAAAAAGCTGAGTGAACATCAACTAAGTGTGGTGATTCCATTACTTTTGCCTCAGATAATTACATGATATTTCCTTCTGTCCCATTTTCCTCACCCATATTTTTAGCATATTTAAAGTAGGTTTCATCAAAATAGATGTTCCTCAGCAAACAGTGTTTTTCATGGAACAAATTTAATCACAGAACAAATGCTTCAGTATTAAGAAGCCTATATTTGAATTTAACTTCTGCATGCTTTTTATTAGTAAATATAACCATCTCAAAATTCCAATTCTGTAAAATCAGCACTAACGTGGAGGCAGACATTTTCTATATCAATTAGATTTTCAAAATGCCATAAATAATTCCTCTTGATGGCATTGTTCTTTCAAATTATGCTGCCCATCTCCTCTCCACATAACATCTGACAGACTGTTCTAGATTACAAGCAAGGAATAATTCTTGATAAGGTCAAAAATTATTCCTTGCTTGTAATCTAGACCCTGTACTAAAACAAAGGACAATCCTACAGGCACTCATTGCACACCCTGACCTCAATATAAAACCAGGAACAGAGGGCTTTGAGGTTAATTCTCTTCACACTTTCACCAGAAGGCACAGCAGGCTGGTCCACTACTTAATGACCAAAGAACTAATCAGGGCAACTGCTTGCTACAAAGGAGGAGATTTTCTCTCCCCCATCTCTCTCTCTGTTCTAATGTACTACAGTCTACAAACTGTCACACAAGGACACAATTTGTATTCAGAAGAAAGATAAATCTTCCAAAACAACATTTGCTCAGCATTCAATGGAAAAACTACTATTAAGGAGAGAGGATGATAATAATAATAATAGTGGAAGCCAAGACAAAAGAAAGTAAATCCTACTCAAACTTCAAAGAATTCCCACTCTCAAGTAATTGCAGTTTTATGTCACATTTCCATTTTGTTTCCAACTTTGTTCAAAATAGCCAAGAATTAGGAAGGCCATAGTTTGAGTATCAAAGGAATAGAAGATTAAATAGAAGAAACAAAGAAAAAGAGGTTTATTAAATACTCATACACAGAATGGAATCACATGAGTAAATCAAATAGTCCATTGTCACAGTAGTAGGGAAGAGCAGGAAGTATGTGGATTCCTACTCTACAACACTTCCACTTCTAGTTCATATTCTTGAATCTTACTGAATATCTTTTTCTACTGGATTCACCCCAAGCCAACTAATATATTTTCTTTTTCTTTTTCCTACCTGTTGT